ACTATTGTAAAAAAAGATTACAAGTTTTGAATTCTGTACAAATGTTTTCGCAGCTTTAAACAAAGCAATCAACAGCCTTTTTATTTATAGACAGTGGAGAGGCATTTTGGGAATGAATCTAGTTGAATTYGTAATAGTATTTTTCGACAAAAACATGAGTCATTCCATGGTCGAAGTGCAGTGATAAAASAATGGAGAAGAATGGCGGAACTTGTCGTACACAGATTCATCCTGTTCAAGCTGTTGTTGCGAGCTTTTTCTTGCTCCAAAGACGTTTATTTTACAGAGCGATTCGCCAGGAAGGTTGGTTGTCATCCTATTCCATATTATGATGTGTTTTAAAGCTAAATAATTTACAATTTAGCTTAARTATCAATGTTAGATAAGTAGAGGGAGTTACTTGCAATTCTCACAAATCTTTCCAAGTGAACAAATCTTGTCTAGAATGGTCTAGAATTTTATGTACATTTCTTACAAAATGCATTGGTTAAATTGAATAATAAGTTGGATAAAATTTAGAGATTCTAAGGTAGTTTAGATTAAGATATACCATTTTCGCGCGTATAATAATTTAATATTTAATAACAATATACATCACAAAAATGGACGAACTAAGAACACCAAGAGACCATAGTCTCTTGGAAACACCAGTCACTTAATTTTGACAGAAATATTTTGTCTTGAGTTTTGCACTTTTGTTATAAACGCGGATCAGTAATCTTGATCGGCAAAGGCAGAAGCATCATCCTGGGTCTCGTCCCTTCGTTCCCCACCCCATATCCCTGGTGTACTTCTTAGATCGGAATTATTTTTTGGGAACAGAAAAAATCTCCATTACCAACCTGTTTCATCCACCATTGAGCCTTGATAATGTTATTAACCTCTTCCTAAATAAGATATCAATTAATCATTAGATTATTATTAATAAATAAATGAACAAAAATATTTCTATATTTTCTATATTGATACCAGTGCAAAAATTAGTTATTCATGAAGAAAAGTTGCAAAAATTTTTTTTGCATTTTTTGTTTTTGTTTTTGTTCTAATGTAGAAACTGAATCAGATTCGAAAAAAAAATTGCAAAGCTATTTTGATAGATTTTTTTAAAGTTTGTTGTTGTTGTAAAGAATGTTTGACTTACGACTTTCACAAGGCGAGCAAGTCTGGCGCCAAAAACGACATTGACTTTCATGCCTCCCCCTGGATGGGCATCTTTGTCATAAAGGTGAAAAACGTCTTGGAGAATTTTGTGCTCGAATGATATCGGCCTAGAAACTGAAATATCACACAACATGTTATCAATAATAATTATGATAATTATAACGTACACAGTTACAAAGGATCTGTGAACAAATCTCTTTCATTTATGTGTATGTGTATGTATATACTTATTTCAATAAAGTTAGTCACCAAAAACCCAGAAAGCTTTGATCGCTGAGAATCATGGGAAATATTTCTTATTCAATAAGCAAAGGTTTTGACACAAACTGCAGTAGTTGAGGATGCTCAGAGGAGGTGAACTTGTAACTGGTAGAAGATYTCAAGTCTATCAACAGTTATCAAGTGGTTGAAACATGTAAAATATATCTACCCATAATCCTTGTCGGTCTCAGCTTTGTAGCTTTTCAGGTGACTAACTTTATTGAAATAAGTATATACACTTATTTCAATAAAGTTAGTCACCTGAAAAGCTATAAAGCTGAGGCCGACCAGGGTTATGGGTAGATTCATTTTACACGTTCAACGGCTTGATAACTGTTCATGGACTTGCGAATCTTTTACCGGTTACAGTCCTACCTCTAGTTCTGAGCATCATCTAGCTCCAGTTTGTATTAAAAAAGCTTTGTATATATGTGCTTTTTTGATATGAAAAGTTTCCCATGATGCTCAGTGATCTCAGCTTTCTAGATTTTTGGTGACTAACTTTATTGAAATAAGTATATAATATGTAATAATCAAAATTCATATGTAAATTTGTATATGCGAGCATAATGCATAATCGTTAAAACTGAAGCTCCTGTTGCTCTCCATTTTTACTTGCGAAAACGAACATTTTTATCAGATAATGAATRTCTGTAGACTAAACCATTTGGCGGATCTTTCTCGACATCCTAAATTTTCATTTTCTAAGTGAGATCTCCTGCTATGTGAGTCGACTAATGACGCCGTTATCTCTTAGGCTAAAACAAACGCCTATTTTTCATTAAGATTAGAACAATTCAGTACTGATAATCAAAAAAAAATAAAGACAGAAAAAAAGCAGAGAAAAGAAAAAAAAAAAAAAAAAAAAAAAAAAAAAAAAAAAAAAAAAATTTGTTTTTGTTTATGAGAGCGGGAGGGGGGATGGGAAAGAGAAAAGAAAAAAAAAAAAAAAAAAAAAAAAAAAAACAAAAACAAAAACGGTGGGGACAATCTACACAGCGTTTTTCTTGGTGCTGACCAAAAGAAACGCAGGTTGGCCTCAAAGTGAATCCGTACCCGTGAGCGTAGTGGTAAATAATTGCTTGCTAATTTCCATTTCCAATATCATTTATAATTAATATCTTTTGCCAAATATCATTATAGACTAATTATAGAGCTATACTATTAGTACGATAAAAACAGTAAAATTTCGGTCCTTTTATATGGCATAGGAGCTAAAAAGAGCTAAAAGTTTCAACATTTTTAACTAGTTGGCTTGGCATTTGACTCGTCTTAAAATATCTCTTTATTTGACACCTTTCATTGCTATTTAAACGATTTGTTGTTTGCTCTAGGCAAACCTACAAAATTGTTAAAGCTTTAATAGAATTTTAAACCGTTTTTTTTCCTTTTAAAAACAATATTCTAAGACAATCATAGTAATCTTTAGTTTTTGCTGATTTTCAGTCGCTGATTTTCTTTTCGAAATAGTGTTTAGTTACCGTGTCACTACAAGGTCACGTCTATATTTCACTGCACACTAAAAAGCAAGTTAAAGCCTTCTAAAATCCACAAATATCAGATAAAATGAAAGTCAATACACATAATAAACGTTTGTTTATAGTTATAATTTGTATGAACCAAAACGATGGCGAACTGAATTCGGATTTTGTTGTTTTTGCAAAATCGTTGGCAAAAAATTGCAATCGTAGTTTAATTTTGCAGAATTAATTAAACTTAAACTTTTGCTTCGTATATGCTTTTTTCCTTTAGAAACTTAGTAACGCTCAGAACTGAAAAGCTAACAAAATCTAAATTTTGAATCCGTAAATTATTCGAAAACATATACGAGTTATTAAAAAGAGCCGACATGATCACCACTGGTKTTAATACATCTGTTTCATCACAAATTCGAAGATTTAATGATTATGACTCATTACTTTTACCTTGAGCTGAACTTCTTGCTATAACTGAAAGGTTATAGACAAATAAAATGAAATGAAGCATTTTTCTCCGGCTAGTTGGACTTTCCATTGAGATTTTCAACCTTCCTCTCGATGTTTGATTAAGAGCTTGGATAATAAGCTGTGAACGGAAAGAAAACACAAAATCAYTTTTTAAATTCACACTCGCTTGGTACCGTCTTGCATGCATAAATATTATTGTTTATTCCTTAATATGATTGCTTTTAATGAGGAGWTTTTTTAAACGAGTAATTATAAATTAATGTTGAGGAAAATATAGGAGTGTTCACCTGTCATTTTTTCCTTTGGTAACTTGTTTGAAAGTTTTCCTATCGAAGAAATGACCAATATTTCAAAAAATAGACAGTTAACGTTTAGCCATTGAAATGGTTTTCTAGATCTTTGGTCAAAGATRATTTCTTTAATTTCTTGCGATAAAAAACTCTAACAGTTATCACAATTTTTTCGACTTTCTGAATTTGGGCCCTAAAATGTTGAGGTATATTCTGAACTACTGAAATAGAAAATAATGCCAGAAACTCCTCGAGGTATAAGAGAAATATTAGCAAAACGACAACATTTTATGTCTTTTTTAATGAAATCAAATTAACTAATAGTTTTAAAAGTTTTTCGAGAGCATTTGGTTCCTAAGCGACATGAGTGCGCTTTTGAAAATATTTATTTTTTGTATTGATTAACACTAAAATGCTGAGAAAACACCGACAAAAATGATTACTTTTTGTCGTAATTTAGAGAGATTTTCCCCTGAGGTCGTAAAAAATCCACTCACTTCTTTTGTTGACATGCGCAGTCTYGGTCAAGAAAGAGCGCGAAAAACACCGAAGACCAAAATTTCTACATTGATATCGAGATAATTGAACAATATATCGTTTCTCTGACAATCGAAAAAAAAGAAACGTTTTCTATGTTTACGCCAGGTTAAGATCTGTGATAGCTTTATGACAGTGGGGATATGGGGATACTAGACGGCTAGATTTTCTCTTAAATTTTCTATAAATGATCATATCATATCTTGTATGGCACTACTTTACCAATCTTCAGGGGTCGATAACGTTTAGATAACACAACTYTGCGACTGACCAGCCGGGTATTTTCTCATATCACCATCGTGATAAGTTAAGATTTTAAAGTTAAGCCAACAGAACTAGAAATTTCTCGATAACATTCATTCATTARATGACACTTCCTATAATGCAATCAATCTTGTTGATATGTAAACGACAGCTCGTTCTAGAGCTTGGCTAGATACATGAAAAATTTATTTCATTGTAACCTTGGTAGTCGTTAGCTACATCCTCGGGAACCCAGGGRTAGTTCTGTCGCTCGCTTTGGAAGAACTTTATCCCCGGGTTCGCGTAGATATTCGTTGCTAGTTATAGCCGAACGATATTCTCTATATTTATTTAAATGTAATCCGCCTTTTAAACTATTCATTCAGTCACCAATTTCAGTTTTTAGTTAAATTATCTTCCATAATTGATTGTGAATATTTTCGTCATTTCGTCATTCAACTGGTCTCTGTTTTATCAATTTTACAAAGGAATATTTCAATTAGTTTTCTGTCATCTAAATGCAATATTCAAAGGGTTTCGGAAATTAAAATCACATGAAGAAACTCCATTTTTTCTATCATAATTAAATATTTTTGACGCAGATCTGGAAAAAGAAATTAAAATTCGAAAATATATTTCTATTCTAAAGTATTTCCCAGTTGAATTTTATTCTAATTTATTGTAATTTGGCTACATTTTTAGCATGTTTTGTCAGAGGTAGTAAATGATCCCTAATTATTAATATTTAATATATGTTAATTTTACATCACCAAAAGGAATAAAACAATCGAAAACCAAAAAGTTAGTTGGAACCAAAGCTTTGTTACATGATATGGACTCAACAAAGTTAAACTTCACTCTTTCTTATTTAAARTCTAAACCCACAAAATTCATTTTCAAAAATCATAATTACTGATTCCGAAGAATATGAAACTGGTGTTTTTTTCACAGTGCTCTGAATATATTTTTTGAGTATTTCATGTATTTTATATAGTTTCTTTTCGAGACCATTTTTCCAAACGTTTTTTTGCTTGCATAATCTTAGGAAAAAGTAGTAATGGTTCAGTTTGAAAAACACTTTTTCAGCGTTCGTACTTTTAAAAAAAAAACCGTAACTTTACCATATTTTAACTTATTGTGATAAATTTCATACTGTTACTAAAATGTCACAGTTTTTTCCTCGGCTTTTATTTTCCCTTTTCACTCTTTTTAATCAACTCCTCCTCATAAAGCGGTCTATTTAATATCTTAAAATAATTTCAGAAAGAAAAAAGACGTGCTCTATCACAATTGTGGTTGGCAAATTATCCTCCTAAAGAAAAAGGTCGATTAAAACAGATAATACTTACCAGTAAATGCTGTGGAAATAATCCAACTAGCTTCAGTGTAGTCCTTCTATCCCCTCTACACTGGACTTAGACATTTTTTCGTCGATGAAAAGAAGATGTTTAAGAGACGTTCGAAGTTCTTGCGCAATAAAAAGCTCAGACATTTAGTAAAATTACGTATTTAGTATTCTACTTATACAAGATCTTTAAAGATGATTGAAAAAAGAGACTCAACAGATGAATAAAACATGAATGGACGTCCCTTCTAGCTTTGCCCTCTTGAATTCCCTTTGAAACAGGTGGTAAAATAGATAATAAATAGGCCCCCAACCATATCAAATACTAGGCTAAACTGTGCTATTTTAGAAGCGAGTTGCCTAGTCTTTGACCAAGGTTTGCGATGTTWATACATGAACAATAAATGCAATCATTAAGGTGTACAGACCTCATAAAAATTGCATGATACCATGCCGGTAATAGCATCAAAAATGAGTTCGACGCCATCTCGGCGAGAGTGAGAAAGAAGAGGAAAGGCCACTAAGGGGAAGGGGAAAAAAACACTGTAATTTGGCAAAGTTGTTGAATAAAAAGAGATTTTCCTTTTCAAAGGCCGGGAG